CACTCATATGGGCAAAATTTTACATTCTGGACAGATCATGCTGAATTGAAATGAATGATGAATTTTCATAATCCAGAAATTCAGATAGTAAGATGGTTCAAAAATCTCGAGGAATACAATTTTAACATTGTACATTACCCTGGATGCAACCATGGAAATGCTGAAACACAATCCAAAGAACCATGTGCTAATTAAAGAGCATAAACACTGTGAAAAGAGGGAAGTACAAGACAATAAATACAAATAACCTAAAGTACAACAGAGTATCATCCAAGATGTGCCATCCATAAGTGGTACTGAAGAAATAATGGGGTCAACATTCGAACAAAAGATGCTAGCTTGAAACCAATTATTCAGTGATCAAGAAATAATGCAGAAAAGTCCTCATGTCAAACAGCCTCTCCATACAAGTCAAAGAAGAAGAAGAAATACTTGGCACAATGGGATTCATTATGCCTACAAAAGGGCTTGTTATGTCAGAAATGGGAAGATACCATGGATATAAACAACTACTGCAGTTGTTACTTCAACAGTCTGTACATGATGCAGCACTCCATCAACTTCAGAACCTTCCAACAAATGGCACTAAAATGCTAAGAAGATACTGGAAAAAGTGTTTCTATTAGAATGGGTGCTGAAGATCTGTAGAGAATTGTTGTGAATAGCGTGAATTATGCTATGTGCAAAAAAGTCCACAAAATAAACAACATGAGAAGTTACAGCAGAATTGTGTTGGAGAACCATTTGATTGATTTACTGTCAATGTGCTTTGTTCCCTACCTAAGAGTAACAATGTGAATAAATATCATGGTTTCGATGGACTCTTTCATAAAATGGCCAGAATCATATGTTGTAACTACCCAGACCTTGCACTACTACTTATGAGTTATCGAAGAGGAGAGTGTGAAGCCGCAGGTAATACAACATCATCACAAATATCTGAGAGAGAAATTATAGTGTTGTGCTCACATTCAGAGGATTATCACTCAGCAGAGTTTTACACAGAATATTTGGAGGGACTAAAGAACATCATGGTATACATTACTTTATCTGGGAAAGATTTACCTCTTTAGTGATGAAATGAAATGACGTTATGATTTCAATGCTGATAAAACTGGCTTTCTTCGAAGTGAAATAGTATAACTGTACAATCCCCACTACAAGAAAGGATGGACTATAAAGTTAAGCAGATGTTAGGAAGGGTCATGTGATGTAATAAGAATAATCAGTGATGTGGTTACGTAACCCACAGAAACAGGCGATCAAATCCAATGGTCATCTACTTTGATCATCCTTGGAAGTACATTGGTTAGAAAATGACCCATTGAGTAACTGCAGAAAAGAATTAATTTTTCAGTGGAAAACCAATCTGTTGAGGACTATAGGGTTTATCCGAGACCATTTCCAGAGGAAGAAGAAGGATAGAGTACTGGTAGATTCATTTGACCACTTGCCCATGGAGAACTTCCCAACTGTTACGACAGCAAGTTATTACAAGGGGCAAAAGGCCATCTCATTTGTGTACCATAATCATCTAAAACAATAATATACAAAGACATAGTGCATGGAACATTTAGTGCAGTATTTCATTTTTGCATCAGGATTATTCAAGGAAGGGGCTGCATTGTAAACTACGTTTCCAATGTTTTAATTTAGGTGTTTGCTCGAGAGAGCTTTCCAGTTTTATGACATTAAGAATTTAGTCACTTCAGACAGTATCTAGAGATAAAGACACATTGTTTATAAATAGAAGTAATCAGGCATGCATGAACAGTAACTAATAAATGAGAAGTTAATTAAAAAGTTAAATGAGTATTCAGTGAGTGATTCATATCAATGTTAATAATAAGAGTTATTGCATCTATTCAGTAACTTGATCAATTAACCATTGAATTCTGTAAATTTGTTGGTGAGTTAGGCATACCATTAGATCGACATTTTCTACTGAAACATTGTATTCGAACTTAGATCTTCAAGTTTTGCTAATGTACAAGTAGCCTTTAGAATATATTACATTGACTGGAGTTCGCAATATTTTCGCCAAATGATTTAAAAGAATCAACCCAATAGTAGGATACATTACAACAGTATGATGAAGTAGACACATCATGCTCTAGTGAAGATATACAGTGTGTCAGATTTAACTTTTATTCACAAGCATTATACGTGGAAGTAATTTAAGAATTTAACCTAAAAAAAGGGGCAGAAAAATGTTCAAGGTCTCTGCACATTATATCCTTCTTAATAAAACAGAATAGAAGTAAGGATTAAAATATGTATAACAACAGATAATTATAGAAAAACTCTGGAAGAACTAAGAAAAATCTTATCCCCTGAAATATGCTCTCCAAAGCCATAATGGCGACACACTTGTACTTGTATGAACAACCTAATGAATGTTGTATGACTAACTAAATTATACAGAAACTTCAATATGTTATATTAAAAAGACTTTAAATACGCAAGTCGACAGGTCACGTGACCACCACAGCCAATAAAAAGTTGTGGTGCAGCAACATGTATCAGAACTGTATTTTGACATTTTGTTAAATATGTAGTGTGACACCCCCAATAATTGATCAGTTTTAGAAATGGTTGTGTTACAGCCCTTTCTGATGTAAAATATTCATTAATTGAGATCATAAAGATACGTTCAAATCAAGAATTTAGAATTTCAAAGATGAGGATATATTATAGATAATGGCAGTGAAAAACAATGGAATGAGGTTGAGTTTGGGGTAACAGGACCATGCAGAAATGAAACCCAGTACGTTGTACAAGCCCTGACAAGAAAAGTGTGGCATCTTACAACAGGTGACACTGCACGAAAACAAAGGTCAGTGGCATAAGCCATCCACATATTCCAGGCAACAATTCACAAAATATTTATGTAAAAGTGACACAAGTCACGTGTATACAATTCCACGATATTTTGGTTCGTGCATCACATACATCTAGCAGCTGGTGAATGAAATTGATATTTATACTATTACGTCTCCGTTCGTTAGTTAATTTTCCGTATAATTTATTTTCGAAGGAACTTTAGCGATACAAGTTCTTTGTTAAATGAAACTGGTTTATTCTTTCTAAATACAACTTTGCAATGCACTTAATTTCCACAGTCACACTATAACAAACGCTATAATTCACAACGAACGTCTCACGTGCTCGATTCAACAATACTCTCTCTCTGTCCACAGTTCAATTACTCATTACATT